CCAGTTCCCTCACAACTACTATGGTCACCCTCTTCTTCTATCTTATGCTCCCTCACTCACGTCTTCCATCTCTCCCTCTCTACTGGTGCCTTCTCCTGCCCTTTAAAGCATGCACAGATCACTCCCATACTTAAAAAACCCTCACTGGACCCCACCAATCTGAACAACTTAAGACCCATCTCCCTGCTCCCGTTTACCTCTAAACTCTTAGAACGCTTAGTCTACAATCACCTGAGCTCCTACCTCACTGACAACAACCTTCTTGACACTTTACAGTTTGGCTTTTCACTCACTACACTCCACTGAAACTGCCCTACTAAAACTCACTAATGATTTACTAACTGCTACAACCAATGGCTACTACTCCATACTCTTACTACTTGACCTCTCTGTGGCTTTTGATACTGTTGACTATTCCCTCCCCCTCATAAAACCTACACTCTCTTGGCCTCCGAGACTCTGCTCTCTCCTGGTTCTCCTCCTACGTACCGCAGCTTTTCTCTTCACTTCCTCTTTCTGTAGGGACGCCTTAAGGTTCTGTCCTTGGACCTCTTCTCTTCTCCATCTACACCTCCTCCCTTGGTCATTTGATAAACTTCCATGGCTTTACGTACCATACATATGCTGATGACACACAAATCTATCTTTTTACTCCTCACCCCTTCAGTCTCCTCTCGCATTACTAATCTACTAAGTGACATATCAGCATGGATGTCACTCCACTTCCTCAAACTAAATCTTTCTAAAATGGAGCTCATACTATTCCCTCCAGCCCGTATCCCCTCCCCTGACTTCTCCATCAAGATCAATAATACAACCATCAGTCCCTCCCCTCATGCCAGGGAACCAGTTTTAATCCTGGACTCCCATCTGTCCTTACAGCCCCAAATCCAGTCACTGTCCAAATCTTGTAAACTTCACCTCCACAACATCTCCAAGATACACCTGTTTTTAACCACTAAGCAGCTTATTCACTCTCTCTCGCCCCGACTGTTGTAACTCCCTCCACATTGGCCTACCTAATCACAGGCTATCCCCTCTTTAGTCTATCATGAATGCTGCTGCCATACTCCTCCACCTTGCCAACTGTTCCACATCGGCTGTCCCTCTCTTCCAATCCCTCCACAGGCTTCCCATTGCCCAACAAATAAAATTCAAAACATTAACAATAACATATGAAGCCATTTATAACTGCCCCAAATTACATCACCAATCTTGACTCCAAATATCACCCAAACTGTCCTCTCCGCTCTAGCTCCCTTGTCTCCACCTCCCATTCTAGTCTACATGGACCTCTGCCACTCTGTACCCCAATCAATCTGACTATTGCCTATTCTGCCCACTTTTAGGTGATCTCTGAAAACCTATCTCTTCAGGGAAGCCTATCCTGCCTTCAGCTAACAATGGAATCTTCTATTCCTCCTACCAGTCCATCCCCCACAGTTATTACCTTTTTGTACCACCAGCCACTCCCTCTTAGATTGTAAGCTCAAAGGAGCAGGGCCCTCCTAACCCTCTTGTATTGAAGTGTATCATTGCTGTATTGTCTCCCTTTATATTGTAAAGTGCTGAGCAAACTGGTGGTGCTATATAAATCCTGTATAATAATAATCTTTCTTCAAAATAAAGAGTTAAAAAAAAAAACAAACACACTCCCCCAATTCACAATTATGGAATAAATAATGTGAATGAGCCTAAACTCAGGCCTATTACACAGAGGTGTCTTTTTGTAGAGTTGAGCTGCCTGTGGACTGTGCTGAATCAGCAAGTGAAGGTACTGTCTGGACAGATCAAGATCTATGGAGAAATGTCCTCCTCTGATCTTCTGTTATAGATGGAGTTAATATTGTGAATTATCCTACACTCTGGTCTACTACCCAGAGAGTATGCATTAGAGCTCACCACGGAGTGTGCATTACTTGTACCTGCTGTCAGCAAGTGATATGGAGGAGTACCTTAATACAAGTGTTGCTTATCATTTCATAGATGAGCCATTCCACCTGGCGAGTGTCAGTGAATTGGGGGAGTGAAGTTTTGAGCATGAGGTGTCTTGGAGGAGAGTCTGCATGCTCATTACACTGAATTGAGAGTGTTCATGGATGCACTTAGTGATCGTATTAGGGAGACAGACTTATGATACATACACCATTTTGATAGACCTAACTAATTTATCACTGATTTTACTAACCTTGTTTTCATTAAAATTGATTGAATGCTCTATATATGTTGTTAAGCACATATGTTGTCTAAGCACTTTTATACACTTGTGCTGTCATTTTTAAGGTTGTTTATTTCAAGATGATGTCTGTCAGTCATTCATTTTAAGGTAGCAGCAGTATTTGTGTTGTTTGGGTATTATTTGCAGGTACAAAATACACTTACATATAGACATATTTTTGTTTACATTTTGGAAGAATTTTTTGAAGCGTTTGGCCACTCCACTGCGATTTGGTGTTTGAATTGTTGATACACAAAACAATAGGGTTACCTTTTTAAATGCTTCAGAACCAACTTCTTAGGGCTCGTTCACACTTGGCTGTTTTACCAACGCTTGCCAAACGCCCCTATAGCGTTTGGCAAGCGTTGGTCCGGCGTTTGCGGAACATTTTTTAACGCTCGGCAAACGCTCCGCAAACGCCACATGTGCGGTTTAGTGGCAGTTGCTAGGCGTTTGCCGAGCGTTAATAACGCCCCACAAACGCCTATAATACAGTTTGAGTGGTGTTACCGCTCCGCAAGCGCCCCGCAACCGCGTCGCAAACGCCGGCCGGGCGTTTGCGGAGCGGCACCATAGACGAGAATAGGAGGCTTCAAAGCCTCCTGACTCGACCAGAGGCATCCGTTTTGCCGCGACGCAAACGCTCCTGTTAGAACAGCACCATGTGCTGTAATGTGCAGAATTGGCAGAAGGCGTTTGGGAAGCGGTAAAAATGCTTCCCAAACGCCTCTCTGCCGCCTGCACACAAGGCTAGTGTGAACGTAGCCTTAAAGTGGTAGTAAGGCCACCCTTGTGGTCTTTTATATCGTAAATGTACCCATGCCTGTCAGTGGGTAATGTGATCTGAGCTGCATATGTGCAGTTCAGATCACATTTACAGGCCACAGTGATGTGATTCTCGTGCACACGCGCAGGACTGATGTCACCGCAGCCCGGCCATTCAAGCGGCTGAAGCTGCGAAACCCAAAGAGAACACTGCGAGAAGATGGAAGAGCCAGGGGAGCCATGACAGCACTGCTCTGGAGGGCTCAGTTTGCAGGCAAGCCTGTCCTAATGTGCAGTGCATACTAGTACATTAAGATGTAAACCTGTAGGCGGACCAGCTTTTTTTTTTTTTTTACTATTAAGACATGACTTCACTACATCGTCAAGGAATGTTACCCAACATTTCATATTCCTGGTATGTGCTATGTGCCTGTTCTACCATATAGTTGTTTTAAAAAGTATTTTGTTCTTTTTGTATTGCTTCCTTTGTGTGAAATAGCTGGTGTTCCTGCTGTCCTATTTCAAACTGACCATGCTAGCCATGACAGCTCATCCATCCCAGCATTGTAAGTTTTCTGGCTGTGCTGGTAGGACAGCCTGCCTGTTCTCCAATGATCAGATTTCTGCTGACACACTCCCTGCAAAGCCATTTATTGGAAAGATTAGTGTACTGCTGTCTTACCATCCTTCGCTCTCTAGGACCCTTATGCAACTGAAACAGAGATAATGTGATTTTAAAAAAAATGTATTTATAGTGTGTCTGTGCTTTAACCACTTCATGATATATAAGTGGCCAGGTGGCAACTTCACCAATGTGGGTGCACATACCCATATGTCCCACACATCTGCCGCTCCTGTACCATCTGATCACTGGGTGTAATCACATGTTAACAAAGTAAGTAATGTATCTCTCTCCTCTCACCTGTGAGCCGGGAAAGAAACATTTTGCAGTATGATGTAATTCCTTGTCTATCACAGTGGGGGGGGGGGGGTTTTCTCCCAAACAAAAACACCATTAACCTCCCTGGCGGTATTCCTGAGTGTAGCTCAGGGTAAAGTTTCAGTACCACAAACGGATGGCCCGGGGTCAGTAGGGGGCCCCATGAAAAGTCCCTGGTACCTTTTATAGGCTTTTTTTTTGGGTGGGGGCAAGGACACAGGGGCCCCATGATCCCCTATTACCCGGGGGCCCCATAAGTTGTCAGTCTGCCCCTGGTATGTCGGTGCTGAGGAGGTCAGTGACACCAAGTCAGTTCCCCCAGTGTCAGAATGCCCGCTGCAGTCCCACTATGTTGCTGATCATCGCCATTACTAGTAAAAAAAAAAAAAAAAAATCCAGTATATATATATACCGCCATTTGTAAATGCTATAACTTTCACGTAAACCATTTAATTTACACGTATTGGGATTTTTATTAACAAAGACGTAGCAGTAGCAGAATCCATTTTGGCCTAAATTTATGACGAAATTTGATTTTTTACATTTGTTTAGTAGACGTTTTATAGCAAAAAGTCAAAAATAGTTATTTTTCTCAAAGTTGTCAGTCTTCTTTTGTTTATAGCACAAAAAATAAAAACTGCAGAGGTGATCAAATACCACCGAAAGAAAGCTCTATTTGTGGAAAAAAAGGATGTATATTTCATTTGGATGCAGCGTTGCATGACCGCACAATTGTCAGTTACAGTAAAGTAGCGCCGTAACGCAAACAATGGCCTAGTCAGGAAGGGGGGTAAATCCTCTGGAGGGTAAGTGGTTGAATGCACACTGATCTACATTTAGTACACAACAGAAATCTGGAACGGAGAAGGAGGTGCAATGAACAGTCAGCACTGCCTGCTCTCCGTAGACGGTGATTGTGTGGAGGGAGGAGAGGGGAGGTGGCGGCGCTGTAGTCAGTTCTCAGTCACGTAGGCTGTATAGGACTTCGCACTGAGGAGGAGGCAATACATATCGGGCTATACAAGCAGAGCTCGGACTGTGTCTGCGTCACAAAGCTCCTCCAGCACCGTCAGTGACATGCAGGCCCGGAGCCTCAACATCCCGGCAGGGAGCGGCCGCCTCTCCGTCCTCCAGCGACACCTCGTATCCTTTCTGTCATGGCAGTGCGGGCTGTTTCCGAGGGGAATATTCTATAGAGCTCGGGGTGTTCTCTTCTACATGACCAGGGGCCGGCTCCCCTTAGAGTGACATGGGAAGGAGTGCAGTGTCCCCGCACAGGAAGTCCTATAGATGTGTGTACAGTACACTTCCAGTCAGAGGAGTCCGGATATACATGGTGCTCAGAGGGGGCTCATCCACAGCACACAGAACTCTGCAGACCTGAGCAGTCAGGGTCACCTGTGCGTACACCAGACTCAGCGTACAGCCATTGGTTTGTGTGGACAGCCGTACGCAGCACCTGCGTCTTCCTGGCGAAGAGGGGCAGACTGACCATTTGGAAACTCGGGCACTGCCCGAGGGCCCGGGGTCAGTAGGGGGCCCCATGAGATGCCCCTGGTACCTTTTTCATAGGCTTTTTTGAGTTTGGGCAAGGATGCAGGGGTCCCATGATCCCCTGTTGCCCGGGGGCCCCATGAGTTGTCAGTCCGCCCCTGCTGGCACCAGATTTTATGTCATGCCTTGTGCACATGGCTTTAGTTCACACTTGTGCTACCTGCGTGTCGCCCAGTCATTTCAGTGGACTGCCCCACAAGCAGGAATGCAGGGAACAAAGTCCCTGGCTCTTTTTTCTTCATATCATACCACACCACATCGCATGATGCCGCAGTACACACCATGCCACTTGGTGCGTTCAGAGACATGCCACATTTTCCGAAGGCACGGGGCTGCCATTAAGAAACAATAGCACCCCCGAATGACTGCTAAAGATCAATGCATTTTGTCTGCGGGTTTTAGATGTGCATGATTTTGCGAGCATTCGCAATTAAAGGCAGCACTGTGGTTAAATGGTTAGCACTTCTGCCTGGCAGTACTAGGGTCGTTGGTTTGAATCCCAACCACGGCACCACCTGCCTGGAGTTTGCATGTTCTCCCTGTGCCTGTGTGGGTTTCCTCCGGGTATTCCAGTTTCCTCCCACACTCCAAAGACATGCTGGTAGGTGAATTGGATCCTATCTAAATTGGCCCTAGTATGTGTATGTATGAATGTAAGTTAGGGACCTAAGATTGTACGCCCCTTGGGGGTTAGGGACTGATGTGAATGTACAATATACATGTGTAAAGCGCTGCGTAAATTGACGGCGCTATAAGCCTGAAATAATAAAAATAATAATTTGTACAAGTGTAAACAACTTAACGCGGAGTTCCACTCAAAAACAGAAGATCTGCTTGTTTGCCTCCTCCCCCCTCCACTGCTATATTTGGCGGGGGGGGGGGGGGGGGGGGCGGGTACCTGGTTTTGACAGATATGCAATACCAACTCAGTTCAGTGCGGCAAAGTGAGCCGGAAGTTCGGCCCCCTGCTGCAGTCTCCTGGGAGCTTTCACTGGTCCCAGAAGACTGTCGGACCAATTAGGAGGCACAGTGCGATTTGCGCAGTGGGCATTAGTCTGTGACGCCGCAAGCTGTCACAGCCGGGAATTTCCAATAGTGACAGTGGTGAGTAATTCCAAACAAATAATTGTAGTGATAAATGTATGAATATTGATGAATAAATATGAATGAAATATAAAGATGAATAAAATAAGTCCAAGGTGTTCTGTAAAATCTCCGTGCACATGACTTCCGTGATAAGGGTTTGTAGTAGGATTGCACTCACCAGAATCGCAATGATAATGCGCATATAATTATATCCAATTTATCCCTGGCGAACTTCTGGGCTCAGGAAAGGAAAGGAACTCCACTGGCACACTGACGTCATACAGGGAGGTTTTACGGAACACCTTGGACTTATTTTATTCATCTTTATATTTCATTCATATTTATTCATCAATATTCACAAGTTTGTCACTACAATTATTTGTTTGGAATTACTCACCACTGTCACTATTGGAAATTCCAGTCATTATTTTTTTCGTCAACTTTTGACAATACACTATATATGTTGTGGTCACTAAAATTTTGCGCTTCACCTTATGCATTTGTTACTTTCTGAATTTAGCGCTGCATTATTTATTTATTTTTGTCATTTTGAGGATACAGGGGTTCATCCTTAATGCTAGCTGCTTGAAATAATCGTGCGCTCGCTTATTCTATATTTTATTATTGTGGAGAGTAGAAGGGATGGCGCCGGTGAGCACATTGCTGGACTCTGGGACAGGTAAGTGTGTTTGTTAAAAGTCAGCAGCTTTAAAAAAAAAAAAATTCTCAATATGGTATTTTTTTTTTACATTTGTTTATTTCTTTGTTTTTTAATACTTTTATCAGAATAGTACAATGTTACCATAGTAACATTGTACTACTGTGGGGGTGATTTTTTTTTTTTTTTTAATAATACAGATCATTTCTCCTGCAATGCAAAGCTTGCTGTCATGAGTCTAACTCATTCGTGAACTGTCATGAATGAGGTAAGTTTTGACAACTCAGGATAGTGATCTGTGATTGGCTGGAATTGGTCATATGGTACAGGGTGCTGTGATTGGCCCCATGTATCATTTGACAGCTGTGGGCCAATCGCAGCTCACTAGGAAGAGAAGCAGAGCTATTATGAATGAGATTGATTAATAACAGCTTTGCTTACATTGTGATCATGTGATCGCATAGCAATCACATGATCACCGGGTCCCGTTCTCCGGGATCTTCATTCCGCTGTGTCTGCTGGCAGTCGGGAGGGGGGAGCGCTGTGCCCCCACCTTTGTTAGTACGTTGCTTTGCCTGTAGCTGCCGCCCTGCCACAGTACATTGCGGGCAGATGGTTGGGAAGCGGTTAAAAAATATATGTTTGGGTGTTCTAAGAAATTTTCTAGCAAAAAATACTGATTGTCACATGTAAGCAAAAAGTGCTAGAAAAGGCCTGGTCTTTAAGAGGGTAAGGTGCGCTTAGTGATTCTAAAGGTTCATTTTTTTTTTTTTTTTTTAAATAACAAACATGCTTACCTACTGTGTGCAGTGGTTTTGCACAGAGCAGCCTGGATCCTCTTCTTCTCGGGTCCCCCGCAGGCTCTCCTGTCTCCTCTTGTCTGTCGGGTGCCCCCACAGCAAGCTTGCTGTGGGAGCACCCGCTGCTCCATGTGTCCATTCACACACAGAGCTGTGGCTTGGCGCTGCCCCCCTCTTTCTCCTGCTTGGTTGGCTGGCTGTGAGAGCAGCAGGAGCCAATGGCGGTTGCTTGCTGTCTCAGCCAATGAGGAGGCAGAGATCCAGGGCAGTCGAGGCTGTCATTCACATTGCTGGATCACGATGAGGCTCATATAAGTATTGAGGGGGCTGGGGGTGATGCTGCATACAGAAGGTTTTTAACCACTTGCCTACCAGGCACTTATACCCCCTTCCTTACCAGGCCAATTTTCAGCTTTCAGCGCTGCCGCACTTTGATTGACAATTGCGCAGTCATGCAACATTGTACCCATATGAAATTTTGATCATTTTTTTCTCACAAATAGAGCTTTCTTTTGGTGGTATTTAATCGCCACTGGGCGCTTTACTTTTTGCGCTATAAAAAAAAAAGTGCAAAAAAATTGAAAAAAAAAAAAAAAAAGTTTATTTGTTTCTTTTATAAAATTTTTCAAACGGGTATTTTTTCTCCTTCACTGATGTGCATTGATGAGGCGGCACTGATAGGCGGCACTGATGGGCACTGATAGGCAGCACTGATGGGCACTGATAGGCAGCACTAAAGGGCACTGATAGGCAGTTCTAATGAGGTGGCACGGATAGGCGGCACTGATAGACAGCACTAATTAGGGGTCACGGATAGGCGGCACTGATATGCAGCACTGATAGGCGGCACTGATAGGTGACACTGATGATGGGTACTGATAGACGGCACTGACTGGCATCACTGCTGGGCACTGACTGGCACAGCCCCTGGGCACTGACTGGTGGCACTGACTGGCACAACCCCTGGGCACTGACTGGTGGCACTGACTGGCAGCACTGCTGGGCTGCACTGGTGGGTGGGCACAGGTGGGTGGCACTGGTGGGCACAGGTGGGTGGCACTGGTGGGCACAGGTGGGTGGGCACAGGTAGGTGGCACTGCTGGGCACATGTAGGTGGCACGTCTGGGCACAGGTAGGTGGCACTTCTGGGCACAGGTAGGTGGCACTGCAGAGTGGCACAGGTGGGTGCACTGCTGGGCACGGGTGGGGCGGAGCTAGTGGATGCACTGCTGGGCGGAACTTGCGGGTCTCACTGCTGGGCACCGATCATCAGGGCACTGATCATCAGTGCCCTGATGATCGGTGCCGATCCCCGCTCTGACAACTGCCGGTTCTCGGCAGTACTTTCCTCACGATCTGACAGCGTGAGGAAAGTGCAGCCGAGAACCGGCACTTGCATTTCCCTGTGATCAGCGTGTCATTGGACACCGCTGATCACGTGGTAAAAGGCCGGTATGATCGGCCTTTTACCACATCTCGTGATCAGCTGTGTCCGTAGGACACAGCGATCACGGAGATCGCCGGGTGCACGCCCCCTGGGGCGCGCAGGAGAGCGCGTTCTGGGGGGACGTCATATGACGTCCACCCAGAACTGGCCGGCCGCAGTGCAGCCGTCATTCGGCTATCTGCGGTCGGCAGGTGGTTAACATTCATGCATAGAATTCAGTGTTTACAACCACTTTAAAGGCTTGGGTCACACTTGTGTGGGTGGAAGTTGCTGCGGGACCTGTACTTCGTCCTGCAGCTGCAACCATCCACACACAAAACGCAGGACCCGCGGTCAGGTGCTGTTAATCTGAATAGCACCCTGGCCACTCTGGAAATCGCACCCGCACTGGGTTCGCAATGTAGTGCAGTTCCTGTGCAGGCTGTGATTTCTGGAAAGGCACAGGGACCTTTTTGCTGCATTTTGCGAGGCACGGCAGCCCCTCCAAATGAATGTGCTGCTGTGCAAACACAAACACACCCCGCACAACACGCAAGGTGTAAACCTAGGGATAAAGCAGAAAAACAATGCTTGCCGACATAACCCTAATGATGATGAT